TCTGAAAGATTGGGATCCTCCATGTTATTTCATTGGTATTGAAGTAGCTTATTCCCCTAAAAGTTATCTTCCTTTATATACTAAGTATGCAATTGATAACCCTAAATGTGTTAAATTACTTACACTAAGAATAATGATACTTCAGCTTATGCTTAATATTTTCTTTCATATAGAACAACATTGTCCAACCTTATTTAATATCATAATATGCTTGGTTCATTGATTTATCTCACCATTACACAACCATATATTACCTATAATATTCATATGATTAGTAACTTTGTGTCACTTTCTAATCGTGATTTGTTCTTTATATTATGTTATCATTATGACACTCCTTTTCATTCTTTGTTAGTTTTTCTCAATTAACTTAGAGTAGCATGCTTGCTCTATTGCTAGTTGGGCAAGCAATCCAATAGATCTCAAATATGTTACTTATTTTGGTTTATTTCTTTCAGGCCACACTTTTAATTCATGATAAGGAAAAAAAAATTAAGTGTAATTTCTCAGTATTTTATCAAAATTGCAAATCAACCTATGTCTCCTACTACAATTATGGCAATTTAGTAGTGGTGGTTACTTGTTGTTGTGGCAATAGCTCTCACTCAAGCCACTCCTATTATTTAGAGAGCTCAAAACACAGTTTTTATTGAAAGAAATAAGCATATTGAGATTGATTGTTATCTCGTTTGTCATCATGACATTGTGATACTCTTACTTTATCTATTACACACTTGATTATAAAATTACTTTTATTTCGATGTTTTTGATTTTTGATGGGCAAACACTCAATGTTTCTTCAGCAACATCACAAAGTGGGGTCAATAAAGATATTTAAATTATTTATTGTCATACAAAAAACAAAATTTGTGTCTAATATTTACAGAAAAATTTATTATTATTATTATTATTATTGTAACATATTCTCAATTTTTTACTAATTTTTTTTTATTACTTCACTCTTGTATCACATATTAATTCAATTCAATAAACAATATTGCAATTTCTAACTTTATTGTTTCACAAATTATTAGCTATCTTTATATGTTTTTTAATATGATTGAAATTTATTTAATCAGTTGTCTTATCAATCAATTTTATTTATTTTTTTTTGGTGATTAAAAAGAAGGTATCATATGTACATACATACATACATACATATTACATACATTTTTACATATTATATTTTTGACATGTAAAAATTACACCTGTTTTGATACTTCTTATATATACAAACCCAGCACTTAAACTTTCATATTTATATATATAACACTTTTATCTTTGGCATCACATCAAAAATGCCACTCCCATTAACTTTTTAAATTGTGGAGCATGGAAGGGTGTTAGATACGTAAATGCATAATATTTCATGATATGTATTTAATTTTTTTATGTAAATCTAAGAAGATCAATGAAAACTTTTTGTATTCTATGTAATTATCAGTTATGAATTAGCCCTTGGACAAATTAGACACCTTTTCATGCTGTAATTATTAATAAAATACTACAAAAAAGAAAGAGCTTTCACAACGTTTATATATATATTGCTATTAGACGAGCTCCGGTCATTCTTGGGTGTGTTAAATATTCGAGTATCATACTTTCAGAGAGACTGTTCTACCAATAGACCACGGTACGCACACATATATATACAAATGCTTGGCATCATCTTTTTTTATTTTATTTCTATCATGATAATTTTTTTTTTACATTTTAATAAAAAAAATGAATGATTTTTGTTGACGAAAAAAGCTTAGGGTCTTTTTGGGGGCATCGGCCCAGCCCCCTGCATGCATTTTAAGTACGTGAGCCTCATCATTATTTCATGTGGCCCTTATTCTTTTATTTATTGTCAGAATCTTACAGCCTATACATGTATATATCACTATATTAGGGAGCCTTTTCCCTTACCATTATATTAAGCCCAGCACAAATTAAATTAAATAAATAAATAAGTATTTGCATGATTGACTAGTCAGCTATATGTTTTGTGTGGATTAGTTGAGGCTTGGAGTGCTCCAGTGTTTTATGAACAATGAACATTACTCTAGCAGCATAAATATTAAGATTAGTGTAGATCTTGATGTTCTCTTATTGTTTTGAAGCATATAATTTATATAAATCACACATGTAAATGGATTTTAAGAAAAAAGAAAGTAAAAAAAAAAACTAAACTTTTTGCATTAAAATCACGAAGGAAAGAAATTATTGGTAGATAAGATAATCAAATGTGAGATTATCAATATCTTTTGTGAGTTTAGAGATAGACTTGCCTTAATTATATATAATTATTATTAATGAAAGCTATTTTAACTAGTTTAGATATTCATAATTTCTCTTTAATTTGGAGCTTGCAGGTACAAGATTACGAATCTATTTTTTATGTTGCTTTATTTGTAAAATAATTTGTTGGTCGGGAGGGCGACTTTGAGGATTATTTTAATTTTGAATGACATCCAAATATAAGTTGTAGCCCAAAGCTTTCCCTAATAATAACTACGAATAATAAAGGCATGCTCCCCACTCTTGTACTTATAAAATATGTCAATATAACACAATTAAGAGTATGATATTATTGCAATTCTTGAGGTTTGTAATGCAATGAATCTAGGTACGAGGGCAAGCCTCCTTTATGAGATGAAGGCAACATGAATAAAAGGAAGGAAATTGAGGGAATGATAAGAAGTTAACAATTACATTATGGATGATCATAATGGCCATTCTCTTAGAGGTGTAGGAATTAAAACTTGAGGAAATACATAATGTAGAATAAAAAGATAATTAAATTTGGTTGAGATAATAAGGAATATTATTTTTTTTTTTATGTTGAGATGTCATAATTTCAAAAAAAATATAAAAAACAATAATACAAAAAGGTCACAAAGAATATTTAAGATGGTTGAATGCCTCTTTCATAAAGTAACGATTGCACAACCAACGTACAATGATGATGAAATAATGTGAATCCTTCACGGAGGTGAAAGCTTGACAACCATAAGAGAATAGTGAGGGCAGAACATACAATTTATAAATGTTATTAAAGATGGTTGGATCCATATATTTTTGGAGACCAAGATGCATAAATTGAAAAAAAATGTGATAAGCACAACAAATTATTAACAAAAGCTAGGATAATCCTCATCTTACAAGTAAAATTAGCTTGACAAAGTGATGGAAATGTCAGGCCGGTCAATAAAGATTATAAAATTTGTCCTTCTTGAAGTAGATGAAGTTTATATAACCTAAAGATGACAGTTTGGCACCACAATGCAAAAAGGTCATGAAAGCCATTAAAAATGATTGGATTCATCTTCTCTAACAGATGAAGGTTGGATGAGAAGAAGCTAAGAATCATACAACACAACACGGTTGAGGAGGCTACTAAAAATGGTTGGAGCATCCTTGAATGAATATCAAGAGTGCAAAACCTAAAGAGAACAAAGAGGTAGTACATGGAGATATTTATATCCATTGAAAATGGTTAAACAAATCCATGTAACACGAAAGGCTGTCATGGTAAACTTTTCATAGAAGGAATAGAAACTAAAACCCTAACTTTTTTTCTTTAATCAAACCATATTTGCAAATTTATATTAGAGTGTCCCACTGAAAACTAGCAGCTTAAGGCAGTTTTCAGCACAGAGTTTTATTTATTAACAAATAAGTATATTCATATATATATATAATTGCTTGAACTCTAAATGTCACCCAACATACAACAGTCAAATAGGTTACCTAAATATTATATTTTTACCATTTATTTCAGTTTCATTTAGATTGCTTTTCCTACTAAGAGAAACATTTTTAATAAATTATCAAATTCAAGCCAAATATCTTATATTTGAATGAGGTGATATACATTAATTTATTGAGTGTAAGGACGACTAATCAATTATCACATAAAAAATTAGCAGAGAAACTATTATAAAAATAAACTAAATAAAAATACGATATTATTTTGTAAATTGAATGAAAAGGGGTTAAGATCCATTCAATTAACTATCTCTGATTGATGAGCTTCGAGCATTAGACCTTTCGGTACAAGAGTAAATATTCAACAATCGCACCACCATCTTATCTACAATTACAACATTTTCTAATGTTAGCCATTAGTCATTTGTATCATTATGATTTTAGTCAGAAATTTGAATTTTGCAGCAAAATCAAAATCTAAAAGTTTTCTTTTATGATCTGTTCATACAATTTCACTAATTAATTTTCAATCCATGTCGCAGAAGCCAAAGCATTAAACAACTTTGCAGTTAGATTATGTCACATTACTCCTTTATTATATTAATATGTATGCAGTATGTTTTCCTTCTTGTCTTTATGGGCAGCTGGGATCTCTATCTTATGAGGAGCTTCTAACATGTATAAGATTAAAACTAGCTAATCAAGTAGAGCAGAGCCACCTAATCTCGTTTTAAAAAAGCAAAGGTTCAATTTTCTTATTTAATTATTTTGAATGATTTGAGTGCAAACCACTCAATTCTTATGTATTTACATTCCGAACATCTAAACTTAAATTTTTACATATATACCAATTTACCTATCCATGAAAAGATTTCTATTTCATTTTTTTAAAAGCAAGCATAGTTTTATTTCTTATGTAATGTAAAATATATGTGGGTGTGTGTGCGCGCGCGCGTGCCGCTTATCCCGATTTGTTGGTTGACATCCTCGGTATAAAACCCCTCAGGTCAGAGGTTCGAATCCCCTCTGACACATTTGGCCTCAAGGAGATTAGGCATGTTAGGGGTGGCTAGAGTCTCCTATATTAGACTCCAGCCATTCCTTTTATATATATATATATATATATATATATATATGCCAAAAGATAGCCTCATCTCATAACCTCAAAGGAATGGAGTTAGTGATTACAGAGGTTATCGACATTAGCATATGATATAATTCACATTATCATCCAATTTACTCTCATATTAGCTTTCATTAAATACTTTTTGATCTCTCTGATTGCGGTGCAGCACTCCAATGAAACATATAAGACTGAAGTAACTAAAAGGCAGAAGATGCTCATCACAAATCCAACCCTCTCAACCATGAAAAGTCATCCCAAGGTCACCATATACTATGACGCACAAAATATCTATAACATAATATTTTTTTTATATAATATATAATACCGGATAAAACATAACTATCATATAACATACCTCACATAAGATTCGCTACATATACTAGAACTTTGAACAAGTAGCAATCTCTAACAACACATTTTTAATCATAGCCATGGAGTAGAAACCCCTCCTCGCTTCTCCCTTCAACTCCAGAGAGTTAGAAGATGACCATGACGAAGAAGAAGACGAAGAAAAAACTTGCTTTGTTAGCTTAATGCTTTTGCTCTTATGGGATCTTGTACTGCTAACTATCTTTTTGTTTGAGGAGATGGAGTAGAATGAAGGAGGAGGAGTTAACGGTGGGATGGTGGTCGTGGTTATGGTGTTCTTCGGCAAGCCGGGTCGAGATTCCCATGTGAAGGGCACGGCTATGGCGGAGACAGCATAGTAGAATCTTAAGGAGGAGTTGCTCTCGAAGTTCTCCTTGGAGAGCATGAGAGAGGAGAACTTGTTGTCTTGAATGCTTATTTGTTGGGGCTCTTGAAACATGGTTTCTTTTGGCTTTATAAGGAGAGGGAGAAAGGAAGGGAGAGACCAGGGTTAGAAAGAAGAAGAGGAGGAGGAGAGGAAAGATAAGGTTGGGAGCAAATGATCAAAAGATTGTTTTTTGTTTTATGGTCGTAGTCCATATATATATATATATATATATATATATAATGTTTTAATCGAATTTTTTATTGAAGTCTCAAAACTATTGAATTTATTTTGAGATTGAAATAATATTTTATTTTATTTCTTTTTATTTTAAAATAAATTTAATTACTTTGAATCCAAAAAATTGAGCTAAATGTTAAATTACGGAGTCTTGTGAATATGAGGGGGTAGAAATCATCCCAAGCACCAAGTACATCTATAACATTGAGTGGTGTTAGGTATGTCGTGTGCAACTATTTATGTATAGTTTTAAAACAGACTGATATAATTTTATGTCAAGATGAAAAATTAATATATTTTAAATAAAAAAAATTATTTAAAGTTAAAATGTTCATATAAAAAGGAAATTAATATTAATTTATTTCCTTAAAACTTTAATTTATTTTGAAAGAAAGGAAAATAATGTGTCCAACGCCTAAAATTCGATAATTATACTTATAATAATTTGATTTTATGAACCTATAAATACAAAAATGTACTTCACTTTTACAACTTAGTTGTAGTGATAATTTTGATGTGATATTAAAGATTAAATTGTTATCTATATAAATTTGAAATTTTAGGTATCAGATATGTAAATACATAAAAATTGTTTGGTATGTATGCAATTGCACCTAATTTTTAAAATTTTGAGAATTTATTTGTTCACTCTAAACTAGTTATAATTAAATGTTCTTATAGATTTTTCATGTAGTAAGGAAGTATTAGTGGAAGCTCTCCGGTTATATATAATATTTAATATATAGTTGGTCAAGAAAATTCAAATATTAATTTTTCTTATAAAAACGTAGGTTAAAATATAAATTTAGGGTCTATTTGGGGCAGCTTATTTAGTATGGTTATATTTTGAAAACGCACATGACCTGCTTGGGTAAACTGCGTTTTAGCAGCTTATGCGTTTTCAAAACGTTGAAAACACGTTTTCACACTGCACTTATCTAAGTGCGTGCGGTGGCAGCTTTCTGGCAGCGATTTGATTTTTTCAAAAAAATAAAAGTTTGTAAGAACCACCGCACATTTCTTATCAGCAGATTATTCAATAAGTTGCAACTGCCCCAAACAGGCTCTTAATTCAATAAAAAATATAATGACATAAATGTAGTATCAGTTAAGAAAAAGCTGCTTTTTTGCAAATCAGATTTATTTATAGTTTGCATAATTGCCTCCCTCCGAGGCAGTTAGCTTGTTAAATTTCTGAATTAATAAAGAAGTTAAGTGCATGTGCCTCCAATTGGCGTACGAGTTATAATTATTAAACTTATTATAAAATAAATATAACTCTGCAATGGTTTAAAAATAAATTAAAAAATAATTAATATCATCAAAATTTAGATCTGAATATTTCGGCTTAAATATTCTACGTGGAGAGGCCGGTAAAGATAGATGAATTTGGATCGGGCAGCATCGGGACCAATGGTTTGTTTAATGCAGTGATCACAAGCTTAAGAGGGTTAGGTTGAGTTGAGAGTGATGGGTGGTTGAAAATAAATATTGCGTTTATATTCAGTCACATTTATTAGCTTTCTATGTCTTGTCATGCCTACTTTTAATTTATTTTTTTTCATAAATCTAACATATCAAAAATTTATTATTACTATTTGTTGAAATCTCTAATAGGTTTTGTGTAAGCTATTGAGTTTTTAGCCCAACCTATCTTACTTATGTACCTTGTTGGTTTCAAGGAAGAAAAAAATGCATTTGTATAGACGAATGTGTGGGGGATAAGGTGAATGGACTTACAAGTAGATGACTTCATATGTATTGGGCGAATATGCAATGTTGCATGAGCTCGTGCAAAATGTTAGATGCATATTGGTGGGTTAGTTTCACCCATATTGGAATGTTATTGTCTTGTCTCAGTCATGTGTTTATTTACACTCAGATTATCATAGAGTTAATTAAGATTTAGACATGTAAAATCTAAGTTGAGTAGCTTTGGATGAGATGAATTTAGAGTTTATTTATGTATGTTATGTAGATTTATTGATTAATTAGATAGGACTTAAAGGTTAATGACTTGTGATTTAGTATGAGACCTCTTTTAACCACTGTATTTCTTATTATTGTTAATGTAAACCTATTTTTGGTTCATCAGGTCAAGTTTGATGCAACATTATTCAATTCATTCTTACTTTAAGAACTTTAAAGTAGTTAGCAAATTATTTCATAACAAAATATGCTACTTTGATGATCCCTATTTAAAGATTCAAACTTAGTCCCTTGAAGAGGCAATCATGACTTTGATATACTATCATCAATGTAATCATGACATCAATATTTATAATGAGAAATATTTTGATTATTAATAAGAGATTTTGTTGCATCGATGATTAATGTGTTTTCATTAACCCAAGTCAAATTGAATATGACTAGATCATTCTATAACATCCATCAATCATAATTTAGTTAATAGAGGGTATATTTTTAATCATCTGTCATTAATAATAGTGATGAATATTCTATATAAGGGTCGAAATATAAATATCCCCTTATTTAGTTGCTTCAAACCATAGTTTGAAAAGGAACCAAAATTCTCAAAAAAAAAAAAAAAGACTCATGAGTATATATGGCCTTATGGCCTTGAAAATTGGAACCAAATAAAACTATTGTCATAAATCAACATCAAAGCAAATGTTACTGCTCTTTCCTCAAAACAGGTGCCATTAACATCTGATGTACACCCTAACAGTCTTTTGCAAGACAAACTAAGTCACATTCATCTTAATAATGAGGTTGTAATTGTCACCCCCAACACTAGCTTGCACCATTGTCATATATCACAAGATAAGTTATGTTGTTATACTAAAAAGTCTATGTGATGTGTATTAAATGTGTATGTTATTTTTATATTAATTGTGCTAATTTTTGGTTTTATATGCAGTGTACAAGAAATTTGGGGAGCAAGGGGAGCGAAGGAGCTGAAGTGGAGTGCCTAGGGTTGAACAGGCACTCAAGTGCTGCTCACGGGCTGTCGGGCGCCCGAATCTAGAGAGTTAGGCGCCCAAACACCTATCATGAGTACCCAGGCACCCTGATTTTGAGAGTCAGGCATCGAGGAGCCATTTTTGGAGTGCACAGGTGCCTATATGCACCATATTAAAGTTGAGACGTCTTAATTCACGACATTTTTAGCCATGAAAGATAAATTGTAATGGAGCAAAGAAATTCTCACTCTCGTCATCGCTCACTCCAGTGCTCACTAGTGCTTCTCCTGTGCGTCTTCATGAGGAATTGAGAGAGGAGTTGCAAGGGTTCTCTTAAAATCTGTACTGTACCTAGTTCTACTCTTGTGGAGGAGAAAGGAAGGTCGGTGGAAGCATAAAGAGAATTAATTTTTTAGCATCGTTGTTGTGGAATGACATTAATTTTCATTTATACTAGAATTTTAGTTGAACACTAAGAGTTTAAACTTGGAAACTTGTTATGTCTTTTTAATGTTTTTTTTTGTTATTTGATGTCTTTTATTTAAAAATCCAAAAATAATTTGCTTTCTTATGTTTATGTTATGAAGTATTATTTTTTTAATGCATTTCTATGAATGTCAATTAAAATGTGTAATTTTATTTGTGATTTTGGCACATAAAACTGTTGAGCTTTTTGTTCTATGAATTTTATTTGTTGAGATTTATTTAATTTGGTAGTGTAGAGTCCCTAATTAATCCTAATTTTGTATGTGTAGGACGCTCTCTTTTGAACTAGTTCTTTACGACCCTGAACTTAAAAGAACTGTTTAAAAAATTAGAAAACTTAAAAAACTCAAAAAAAAAAATCTAGGACCAATGACAAACTTGCCTTAAGAAGAGAATAACATGCCTTGGCCTGATTTTGTGTTTAGATCACTTAGGAAGTATGTCAATCCTTCGATATCTTTAAGCAAGTCACATCCTGATTGATTAAACCCAAAATGATATGTCAAAGATGATATGTGTTTCTCGATATTGGGCATAGGTCACAATGGACCTTACTTTTTCCTAGAAATATAGTTACAACAATGCTCAAGAATAATGTTTGGCAACTTGCTTGTTGCTGCTTTTGAATGTGTCATCTCTCGACGAGGGTGTTTTCCACATGAGCTTATAAAATAGACCACTTAAGGATATTAACTTCTCGATCCACTTGAGGATAAAATCCAGTGGTAGGGGTGCTAAGGAAACGTTATTTGTGAAGTTTCCCTTAGTCTGGAAGTGATTCTCAAAGACTTAATGTATGAATGAAATGTGAAATGTCTACTCCATCACAGTCGTGCCCAAGACGTTGACACAAATGACCTTTCAAGACTACAGTGATAGTTGCCCCCAGCCTAGAAGAAGTTATCATAGACTTTGTGTCTGAGTTGTGGACTATGTAGGATATCGATCGCAGTTGGTCATGTAGGTCGTAGTGGTGAGTTGTGATGATATTCATAGAATGCAAAAAATCAGAGTCAGGAGTAACACAAGTTGTGGGCCACGCAGGACGTAGTGGTGAGCTTCGATGACCATCTTATGCTGGAGGGGTCAGATTTAGGAGTTACATCGAGAGAGATTTAGGAGTCCAGAGAAAGCCCCATCTTCGAGGTGCATTATTACATTGTCTTTGAGATGTTGTTGCACCATGTGTGGGGTGTGGTGTTATGTAGGATGTCTCTTTACTCTGCAATGTATGTCGGGGTTCTACAACGCGCATCAAAATTATGTAAGATGCACATCAAAAGTAAGGGCTTTCACTTTAACGAGTCGGGTTTGGCCTGCAGTGGTCGACGGTGTCTGATGCATAATGGTTGACAATGTTTGGTGGTTGTAGAAGTGGAAGGTTTTTGTTGGATCTGCAAGATTGAAGCGATGTTAGATTTAAGCTTATTTTTCAAGTTTCTGTCTTTTTCTAGCTCAAGATCTCCCTCTATCAAGAGGGGAATAACACTCGATGTCTCTCTGTAAAG